ACCCTATCCAGTCCCGCACTACAAGCCCCACAATGCACCGCCGTTGTCGCGACTGGTCGCCAGCCAGCGGGTGGCGTGAGTGGGGGTCGCTGGCCAGCGTGTAGGGACCTCCCTCTCGGCCTGCCAGGTGCGGTGAGGCGCGCGAGGCTGTTCCCGGGGAGGGTGGCGCTCGGCGGTATTTGCTACCAACTGTTGCGCACTTGCCGGAAGCCATGTGATTAAATGACCGCTTTCTCAGTTGCCTCTTGCAGTACCTAGCAAAGGGAAATTGAGACCCAGGAGACAAGCAATTTGCCCTAGAGCGCACCGTAGTACATTGGTAGAACTTGCATTCAAACCCAAGCGATCTATTTTCCAGGTGTCCCTCAAGATCCTGGGGAAGAAATTGGAATCAATTCGCAGGTATCACCCGCCTAGGGAGTGGTAGAGACTCAGTGAGAACTTGACACCATGACCCTTAGCGCCTCAGCTTTCCTTTGGCGGCCTCTGAAAGCCTAAGGGTTGCGCCATATTAGTGTCCTGGGCGAATTGATGAAGGAAGCAGGAGTCATAACGTTTAGACCGACCACCTTGTCCTCTCTCACCCCAAGGGATTGTCAAGGCTTCCAGATACAGTGTAAGGACAAGGAACGGGAGAAACATCCGTCCTTTGGCACTTCAGAGAGAGGCTCTGTGGCGGGCTGTGGGGTAACGGATGAAGAGATTCTGAGACCAGTGGGGCCAGTGTCTCACCCCTGATAGTGTCGCAGCTCTTGGCTCTGTATAGTTCCCGGTTTCCCTGTACCCCTGGCTCTGCGTCGCAGCCTCTATTCCTTTTAACTTGCCTCTCCTGTATCTTTGGCTATGTGTGTACTGCTGTCCTTCCATCTGACTTTTTACCTACATGATATTTCTTCCAATATTGATTCTTTTTAAAATTTTTATTTTCACATTAACACTTAGGGGAGAGACAATTTGGAGCTCTTAAACAACACTTCCTCCCCCCAAGATTAGAAGTAATTGAGACGACGCAGGAGATAACCAAATGCAGAGGAAAATATCATCTGCTCAGGCTACACAGCCAGGACCTCCCCAGAGGGAGCATCAGAGTAGCTACGTTGATTATGACATTCATTGTCTCCTAACCTCCTAATCAAATAAAAACTCCTCTGGGGAGGAGTGGGGCTTGGGAGAAACTGTGGCTTAAGAGGATGACTTCAGTGCTGTTTCAAATTGTGGTTCAGGTCCATTCATGAGTTGTGAAAAGATTTAGTAGGTAGCAAATATATATATATTTAATTAGAAAATGAATTAGAATAGAAAATAATGAACATGTTAAGTGTTTTTTTAAACTTTGTGTGTGTGTGTACACCCAGATACCTTGTAAAAAATGTTAAACCAGATGTGATGGCACACGCCTTGTAGTCCCTGCTACTTTGGCCACATGGACCCATCTCAAACATCACAAATGAAATACTTCTTACTGTGGAGTCTAATAGTAGTTTCAGGGTTCCTGTGCTAGTGTAAGTACCTCTGTGAGGAATCTGAAGTAGGTTAAACATGTACCCTTTTCTCCCCACCTACACATACTGGACAGTCCTGCTTGAAACTTGCTTCTACCACCTGTGTACCTGTAGACCACTTTCAAAATCTAGCCAGGGCATTAGCTCAGGCCTTAAAGGACCACTTTATTGGCAAGATGGGAACAAGGCCTCCAAAGAGAGGAAGTTCAGTACAAGTGAGTTTATCCAGAACTTTACACTCAAAAAAGTGTTTCATTTTTTGGGGGGGATATCGGGGATAGAACTCAGATCCTTGTGCTTGCGAGGCAGGCAGCAGAAGCACTGAGCTAAATCCCTGGCCCCTTACACTAAAAAAAGTAAAAAATGGAGACAAATTCACAGGAGTTAATCTTGGCATTTCTGAAAGTTTTAAACCAGTTGTGGTAGTGCATGCCTGTAATCCTAGCACTTGTGAGGCTGAGGCAGGAGTATCACCTTGAGTTTGAGACCAGCCTGGGCTACATTGTGAGTTCAAGGCAAGACACTGGCTCAATAAAAACAACAGAGTTTTATAGCATTTCAAAGAAGAGCGCTTTAATCTCTTAAGAAATGAAGACTCATTGTGCAGGTCAATTTTAAGTGTTGACTTGACTTGGTTAAGGAATGACTAGAAACCCAGAAAAGGATTATTAATCTTTTTTGGGGGTGCATTATTTTGGATGTGTCTGTGAGTGTGAAGGTTAGCATGTACGTCTTTAGGGACCAGGTGGGGAAGACTATCCTCACTGTGGGCAGGTACCATCCAAACTGAGTTTAAAAAGCACATTGGTATCTTGCCCTGATTACTGATACATGTCTTTCCTCTACCTTGGACCCCAGAACTCCAGGCTAGCAGCCTTTGGATTCTAGGAGTTACACAAGCTGCCCTCTCTTGGAGCCCTCAGGCTTTGGCTTGAGACTGAGAGTTGTACCATAGGCTTCCCTGGTTCTGTGGGTGTTGGGCTTGTACTGAGCCATGCTATCAGCATCTTAGGATCTCCAGTTTGCAAGTGAATGTCCTGGTACAGTTAGGGTCACTCCCTTCCCTTCGCTCAACTGTAAATGACACACCACCCTAGGATCATCAAATCAATATACATCCCCAGCCCTACTTTCTATTTTTTGTCTTGAGAGAGGGTCTCACAAGTTGCTAAATTGCCTGGGGTTGGCTTAAATTTATAGTCCTCCTGCCACAGCCTCTACAGTGTGGAGATTAGAGGTGTACTACCATACTAAACTAACTGAGCCATTCAAACATCCCTGATTTAAAAAAAAAGGAGAAAAAAGTCCCACCAATCAATGTATCTATCTGTGGATGCTATTAATTCCTCTTCAGTCATAACCCACCTGGATATTCTACAACTAAAGATGAAATAACAATGATAACTAATGCCAATTTTCCATATCCAGTCATCCAGTCCAAGTTCCACATTGCTGCAGACCAGTCTTCCTGTTTATCTCCTTTCTTTCTTTCTTTCTTTCTTTCTTTCTTTCTTTCTTTCTTTCTTTCTTTCTTTCTTTCTTTCTTTCTTTCTTTCTTTCTTTCTTTCTTTCTTTCTTTCTTTCTTTCTTTCTTTCTGTCTTTCTTTTTCTTTCTTTCCTTCTTTTTTGAGACAGGGTCTCACTATGTAGTTGAGACTGACCTGGAACTCATTATGTAGCCCAGGCTGGTCTCGAACTCACAGCGATCCTCCTGCCTCAGCCTCCTGAGTGCTGGGATTACAGGTGTGTGCCACCACACCCAGCTAAACTCTACTTAACAGCAAGTGTTTTATGACTCCATAATCCAGTCATATGAGATTCTTGTGAGACATCTGGATAAAAACTGTAACACTAACATAATCCTTCCACAATGTGTTTCTTCATCCTACCCTTTCTTTTTCCATCTCCCTGTCCCTTCCTTCCTCCCTTTTTGCTTCCATCCTACTTTCCTTTTTTTTTTCCTTCTGGTACTGAGAGTTGAACCCAGAGCCTTGCACATGATTGGCAAGTGCTCCAACACCGAGTTACATTTACAGCCCTTTTTGGAAATGTTTACTTATTTATTTTTGAGACAGTGTCTCACTATGTAGCTTAGACTAGCACTGCAATTGCTAGCTAGCTCAGGCTGGCCTTAATCTCATTGTCCTCATTTATTTCATTGGAGAATAGCTACAGAGACCAAAATCTGGGTGCTAAGTAGGATCATTGCTACCAAGGACCTCTCTGCAGATCGTGCTGGGAAATGTATGTATTTATACTGGCCCTTGTATGCACACTTGTCTTTATTTTCTCTCTCTGTCTCTCTCTGTCTCTGTCTCTCTCTCTCTCTATATATATATATGTATATATGTATATATAAGCATATACACGCACACACACATATATATATTAAATAAACATGAATTCATATTTATACCTCTGACTCCAACCCAACACCACAGGAGTCATTCTAGCCCTTCTCCTTTAGTTATTTGACACTTTTTTCTCCAACAGCAAAATATCTAGTTTTTGGTATCTATAATATATTTACTTATTTGTTCTATCCTAATAAACATGTAGTTTCACAGGTTTTTTTTTTTGGTACCAGGATTGAACTCAGGACCCTCTGCCTGCCTTCCACTGGGCTAAATCCCCAGCCCCACAATTCTTGATTTTCCCATATTAAAGTATATAGTCAAAACAATGAAAATCCTATTTTCTGTAAAAACAGAATATCGTTTCTTTCTTTCTTTCTTTGTTTTGCATATAGACGTCCATTTTTTCTTCAATAAATTCCCTGTGTAACTTTGTTTTGATTGTTGGAATTTTATGGCAGGTCTTGGGAATGGGTAGTGTGGGTTTATTGACTTCTTTTTCTTCTTTTTTTTTAGCAAAATGTTTACTGGTATATTTTTGTTTGTTTTTGTTTTTTTTTTTTGTTTTTTTGAGACAGGGTCTTACTATGTAGTTGAGACTAACCTGGGACTTACTATGCAGCCCAGGCTGGTCTTGAACTCTTAGTGATCCTCCTGCCTCAGCCTCCCGAGTGCTGGAATTACATGCGTGTGCCACCATGCCTGGCTCTACTGGTAGATTTTTTTAAAGCAAAACATTTCCTGGTACATTTTATATATACATGATAATGACATTCATCATAGGGAATCTGTACTTGATAGATCTTGCTTCTTTTTTCCCATTCCCTCACACTCCTCTTCCCGTTTTATTTACAAATTTTTGTTTCCATTTTTCCTTCTATTCTATTTTCTCTTGTCCCTTCCCCCATCCTCTCTCTATTCCTCTCCCCATTTGAACATTTTCTTATTTCCTAGAATGTATTATAGATTTTAGTCCTTATTTCCACTTTGGATTCCTCATACCAGGGTAACAATGTGGTATGTAAACATGAGTGTCTGATTTATATCAGTTAAGAGTATGGTTTCAAGGGGCATCCTTTAGCTAGAAATGTCCCAAGCTCATCTTTCTTGATGGCAGAGTAGTGCTCCATTATATATAGAAACCACATTTTCTTTATCCATACATCCTTTGATAGCATCTAGCCTGTTTCCAAGATTTAGTTATTATAAATTACAAATGATGTTTTTAACTCTTTTTTTTATTTTTTTTTGTACTGGGGATTGAACTCAGGACCTTGCGCTTACAAGGCAGGCGCTAAATCCCTGGCCCATGTTTTTAACTTTTTCAGGAAGATACCAAGAAGGGGAATAGCTGCGTCAAATGGACTATCTAGTTTTAGTTTCTTTTTTTTTGTAGTTGAGACTGACTATGTAGTTGAGACTGACCTGGAACTCAATATGTAGTCCAGGCTGGTCTCGAACTCACCACAGTGATCCTCCTGCCTCAGCCTCCCAAATGCTGGGATTGCAGGCTTGCCCCACCATGCCTGGCCTAGTTTTAGTTTATTGAGGGAGCTCCATACTGACATTTATATTGGTTGTACCAATTTATACTCCCACCAACAGTGAAAAAGGGTTCCTTTTTCCCCACAGCCTTGTGTCTTCTCATGTTTTTATTTATTGTTTGTTTGTTTGTTTCTCAGATTTTTGGTTCAGTTATAGTGGAAAGACTTTGTTGCTAGCATGGAGATTGCTTTAATGTCTGCTTTCTAGTGAATGTACTCTGGGCCTGGCTAACTATAGGCCTTTACCTCCTTCCCAAGATCTGACCGCCTGTGATAACTTGGAGAGGGAAAAGTACAGCATAATTGGCCAGCCACCCAGTTCTCCAGAAATGAACCACAGTACTATTGATGACACAAAGACAAACCAGACATTGGCATCCAGTAAAAACTAATTCATAGCAACAACTATTTTATCCTGGCTATAGCAACAAAATTAGCACCAATAATGAATCCAAGATAAACTGGATATTGACATACTGTAAGAATCAATAAAAGCTACACCCATAATAATAGAAAAAATATTTATAATTATAATGTAGACAGAAAGACACACCAATATTGACAAATAGTAAATACCTACAACACAACAAATATACCACCACTAAAAACATCCAAAGATTAATAAGTTTAATAATAAGAATAGTAAAGAAGGAGGGTTTGGGGAATAGGAGAAGAAAGAATTAAAATTTGAAAGACAAAGAGAAGATGATGAGATGAAGGAAAGTGAGATAAAAAACTTACTAAGGAATAAAAGCAAATCAACCCAATTAGATAAAAGTAACAGAAAACAAACAAGAAAAAGAAGAAGAAGAAAAAAAACAAATAACAAAATAAGGAAAGAAAAAAGCCACAGTAGTTATGGAGGAGAGTTAGTGAGTCACTACTGAGGTACGTTTTGTTTCTACCCACAGATTTTCATGTGCAAATGCTAAATCCTGCCCCACCTTCCCTGATGGGTGTGGTTGGTCAATGGTGTCTGCCTTAGGGCTATCTGTATTGCATCTGTGCCAAGTTTCTAAATCACTTCCTTTTCTGCCTTGCTCTACTGCCTGTGGATTTTTAAGGTTCCCTCCCTTGATTCTCTAGTCCAAGGTATATCCCTGATTACATTTGCAGGCGGGGAAAGCACAGAGACCACTGAACTCTGTGCTTCATGTAGGTAGTGGGATGGGAGGTTTTTCTTACTTGCAGTCTAACTGATACAACAATTAAGGCAGTAAGTATAAAAGTTTATCCTTGTGTACAATGCGGGCACTTAATCTTTATTTCCCACTTTGACCCCTCATCATAATTAACCTAGTAAACCCAACCTATGGGAATTTAACAAACTTCTGTACCTGCATTGACATCCAGAAGGTTAAACAAGTAGGCAGATTGGCAAAATCTTTAATTCATGGTTTCCAACCTCAACTGGCTTCTCTCTGCTTTCCAGTCACTTCCTCTTCCTATCTGAAATAACAATTTTGGATCATCTTCATGTTCCTCCCTTTTTTTCTTGCTTACAGACAGAAGAGATAACTGTATTTCCTACTTCAAAGATGACCCACCTCCTCTTTCTTTTTTCTTCTTTTTATTGAGTTTATTGGTACAATCTAGGTATACAATACAATTACATTCATCATTGGGATTCTGTACCTTTACATAAAAGGTCTTGATTCTCATTTTTCCCCTTGTCCCTGCCCTCCCTTCACCCCCTCCTCCCCTCCCCATTTACAAACACTTTATTTCCATTTTTTCAGTTTCTCATATTTTGACCCACGTCCTCTTGAAGGCCAGCTTCTCACATGCTGTGGACCTACTCTAGGGTGGTTCTCAGGTAACTGATTTATTTGTGGTGTGTCTTAGTTACTTGTCTTTCTTGCTGAGACAAAATACCTGACACCCAAAGTTAGAGGAAGAAGAAAAGGTTTATTTGACTGACAGTTCTCAGAGATTTCAGTCTGTAATTGGCTGGCTCCAGGGCAGGGTGGATGGCAGAAAGCCCTCTCGGAGGAGAAATGACGTGACATTAACAAGGTAGTAAAAGCAACAAGGGACCTTAACAAGAACTTTCTGCCCCTTTTAGCTTATCTAGACTACCAGGACAAGTGGGGGGCGGTCCCAAACCAATCCCAGCATCACACACTCTAGTTTCAGACACCTCCGAAAAAGAAAGCCCCACCTCATCCACATGAGGCTTTGGGGGACATCTAAACACAAACTACAACATAGTGCTAGGGATTGAACCCAGGGCCTCATGTATGCAAGGAGAGTGCTCTGCCTTGGAGTTATCCTCAGACCCCCAATTTTGCTTTCTAGGTCAAGGAAAATAATTTGGTCTTTCTTCTGAGAGTCATGCTGAGGGAAGGCTCTCCAGAAATGGACACATGGTAGGCAATTCTGCACTTGGTCTTTGGTAAAGGGGAGGAGAGACATAGAAAGCAGTTGGAATGGGCCCTGATGTGAAATAGAGATTTGTAAGACTAGCTTGGGGTTTCTCTAAGAATGGCAGGAATGAGCACATCTAAGTGCATTTGTAAAGAAGCAAGCAGAGGGAACTGAGGAAGGTACAGATGAGTGAAGGGTGAGGTCCCCCGAAGAGCAGGAGGGACACCTGACCCCCTGTGACATAGCACCTGATGTGATCACTGCGCGGTACTTGACTTATTGAAATCATTCACAGTCGTCTTCTGTCTTCTTCTGGAGAGAAGACCCTAGGAGCCCGGAGAAAGGGTATTAGTTTCCTAGGGCTCCCATAACAAATTGTCACAGACTGGAGGCCTTTAAATTTTTGGTGCTAGAAAATAAACCCAGTGCCTTTGGATCATGCTACATCCCTAGCCCTTTTTATATTTTAGTTTGAGATAGAGTCTCACTAAACTCCTCTGATAGGACTTGAACTTGTGATCCTCCTGCCTCAGCCTCCCAGATTACTGGTATTACAGGCTTGTGTCACCATGCCTGGCTTATAGTATAAATTTAATTTTGCAAAATTGTGGAAACTGGAAGTTCAAGATCAAGGTGTTAGCAGGTTTTGTGTCTCCTGACATTTCTCTCTCTGACTTAGAGATAGCTGCCATTTTTGTTATGCTCTTGTGTAACATTTCATCTGTGTATATATTATATTCCTGATGTCTCTTCTTTTTAAAAAATTTTAAATTGATCCCTGATTATACATACTTATGGGGCATAGTATGATATTTCAATACATGTACACATTGTATAATGACCAGATCAGGGTAACTGGCATATCCATCATCTCAAATGTTTATCAGTTTAATATTAGGAATCCCGAGATCCTCTCTGCTAGCTACTTTGAAACATACATTTACTTGCTGCCAACCATAATTACTCTAATGTGTTACAGAACACTAGAGGTTATTCCTCCCACTGAACTGCCCCTCTGTTGTTCCTCTTTTTGTGTGTGGGGGGGGTACTAGGAATCAAACATTGCACTTGTGAGGCAGGTGGTGGCACCATTGAGCTAAATCCCCCGGCCCTGTTCCTTCTTTTGTAAGGACACCAGTCGCATGGGCTACAGTCCAACTCAGTAACCTTATTTAAAGGCCTCTCTTTAAATAACCTCTCCTTAAAGGCCTTATGCATTTAAGTGCTATTACATTCTGACCCACTTGGGGTTGGGACCTCAATGTACGGACTGTGAGAGGATGCAATTTAGCCCGTGATAGTCAGGAACCATGCCTTTCTCCCTCGTGTATCCCAAGCACACCAAGTATAGTGTGGAATAAGCACAAAGTAAGATACAGTACATATTTTCTATCTATTATTATTTTTATTTATTTATTTTTTATTTTTTATTTTTTTGGTTATTTGAGACAGGATCTCACTATGTAGTTGAGACTGACTTAGAACTCACTGTGTAGCCCAGGCTGGTCTCGAACTCACATATTTTCTAAACAACTACCTCCAACTAGCTACATGACATTGGCTGGGATCCTTCTGCTCTTTGCACCATCTGTAGCAGCAGGTTGGAGAAGCTGACAGGTGTTGCTCTATCCCAAGATACTGGTCATTTCTTTTGTGAAATCCTTCTTCATCACTGGAGGGAGACATTACTTCCAGTTACTTCCTTGGGACAGGGCCTTTAATCCTCTTGCCCCAGAGAAGTTAAAGTGGACAAGTTGAGGCCAAGGACAGCCAACTGCTTAGAGTCAGCTCCTTGCTGGTCACATGGCAGTCAAAGTACCAGCTGGGCACTCAGCTCTTGGTTTAAATTTCAACTCTGCCACTTCCTGGCTGACAAACATTAGCCAAGATCCCCTGAAGAGCGTTAGTTTCCTCTGCTGCTGAATAAGGAATGAACATGGACAATTCCTGGACACTCCTTCGTTGAGAATATCATTTATAATGATGCAGGGGGCAGGCCTCCAGACAAAACTCCCACCTTAGAGACTCCAGGAATGCAAATATTCACAACTATCCTAGTGACCAAGTTCCTGTCTGCTAATGGAACTTGAAGAGTGCTGGCACAGTCTGTTGGGGAGTGGACCTTTCTGAAGGCTTGGACTGGCCAGAGATAGCAGATGTCTAGCAGGCGGGCATAAGTCTGTCCCATTCCCTGCCTGTTGCCCTCTTCCGCATGAAGTAGGAATGCAGGGTGGTTTGGGCATCCAGAATGGAAGACTCCTACTTGAGTATGTAAGAGAGAGCTTGAGCAGTTCCAGTTTGGGGGGCTCCAAATTTATGAAAATTTGAAATATCCAAAGAGATGGAAAAAGATGACTCAGAGATGAAAGCACTTAGAAAAGTAGTTTCCCAGTTAAATGTATGTTGTAAAATACACCCAGATTTCCTGGTCAGGCACATGTAAGGACTCCTAAACTGTTGTCTACCACTCGGTAAGAATGATACAGTCAGACCTCAAAGACCACATTGCCAGTGACGCTGCCACACTTCAGGACAGAGAAGTAGTTGTACACAGAATTGGCACGAGGCTTGTCTGAGAACAAAAACCAGATTCAGAGAACAGCACAGAGAAGGAGGTGGGAGTGCAGTCTGTTGCCATAGGATATCTATCCAGGAACCGAGACAGGTGGCCTGACACAAGACAGCTCAGAAGGTGTCCTTCCTGGGCCTCCTGATTCAGTAATGACCAACTGAATCCTTCCTATCTGGGACAGGAAGCTGGTGAAACCAAATAATTTATTAAGGCAGTTTACTTGCAAAGAATGCTTCTAAAGGAGGCTAGGCTTTAGAAGAAATGGTCCTAATCCATCCCCATACTGCAGCCACTTAAAGGGGAAGCCACCACAACCTCTACAAGATTGCCAAGATAAAAAGTTTGCAACTTTCTTTGTGGAAAACAGGAATTTTCTCACATGACTACTGTCAAAGGGCAGAAGTACACCTATAAAGATCTTAACTGGCTTTCTCTCTTTCTTTTGCAACAGAAATTAGTGAAACAGAAGTTAGGATTCTATGAGGCGGAAGAACAGTAGCCCCCAAATAGTCAGGAAACCCAAAAAAGGAGTCTGCTGAGTCTCCACCCTCGGTCACCAGGTTGGGTCTTTGTCCAAGTTTAACCTGCAAGGCTGAAGCAGGCTCACTGACTCATTGCAGAAAGAGACACAAGTGAGTAGAATTTATCAGGCAAAGACAGAATGTAAGTATTTATTATAGAGTGAAAGCAGAGAAGCTGCCTTTACTGTAAAGCTCATAGCCCTCAGGCAAATGAACCTGGGAGAGGGTCCAAAAGGGACTCTCAGCTTAGTGCTTTTGGACTCAAAAATTGACTATATTGCTAAAATTATCTGTACAAATACCAAAGATATTCTTTAGAAGGGTATGAATATGTTGTTCCTGGGCAAGACGGTTCTCCCAATCTAATGAGGCCTTTGTTGAGCTCCCACATACCTGGCCTTGGCCATAGATGTGCCCCTCACTGAATCTTTCTGACTCCCTCCTTTGCTTGGCCTTCTCATGGCTGCCCGTAACTGCTTTTGCCAGGATCCTACTTGCAGCCTCCACACACACACAAACTGCCAGGTTCCCACGCCTTACTTTCTAAATTGAGTCAATGTATGGCTTGGGTAGCTTCAGCTGAGGCTGCGTTCGGGCAGTTGCAGCCTTCTTACTACTTACAATTTGTTACTTAGGATTTCCTTATCTTCTTTCTCTCTTGTATTCTAGCCTACCTTACCTCCAGGGATCTTACAAAAACATCTGCCAGGTGTACTTTGGCTTCCTGGGACCTCCTCAAAACATGATCAGGCAGGCCACTGGCACAAGGGCATGTGGGCCCTGCATGGGCAAGGCATGAACCCTACATGGATTGGACTCTAAAAAGTATGTAATCTCCTATCGGATGGAGATTATACTGTTTGCACATCAGCCTGAGCTCCCTTCTAAACCCCTTGAAAACTCATAGCCCAGTGATGGTGAGCCTGTTAGAGCTTTCAATGATATAAACAGCCCACTGTGGTATGTGTTCACCACCACTGTCCTAGACGGTCTTCTTGGGTTTCCTGCACAGAACCCCCTCTTGGGATTCTGTCACTGTGGAAGATTTGCTTTCTTGCCTTTATATCTTTAACTTTTATATCTTTTTTGTTTGTTTGTTTTTTTGCTGCTTTGTTTGTTTGGTACCAGGGATTGAATTTGGGACCTTGCCCTTGTGAGGCAGGCAGTGGAACCACTGAGCTAAACCCCTGGCCCTGTTTGTTTGTTTTTTGAGACAGGGTCTCACTATGTAGTTGAGACTGACCTGGAACTCACTATGTAGCCCAGGCTGGTCTCAAACTCACAGCGATCCTCCTGCCTCAGCCTCCTGAGTGCTGGGATTACAGGCGTGCGCCGCCATGCCCAGCTTTAACTTTTATATCTTTTTAAAGTAAATTTTCTTGCACTCTTCCCTTCTGCCTATGGTTTCATTCTTCTTCACTGAGAGACATGACCCTGGAACTCTGGTAACATCCCATCCTTTCCTTTCCTTTCCTCTCTTTTCCTTTTTTCTTGCTTCCTTCCCTCTCTTCTTTTTTTTTCCTTGCTTGCTTACTTTTTTTGTTGCTGGGGGAATTAACCCAGGACCTTTCACATACCATGCTTTATTTTCAATTCTCAAATTGGGCAACACTTCATTCCAATGACTAGAAAAAAACTTGGAATGAGCAAATCAGAGGAGGTTGGTTTAATAGATAGAAAAGAGATGAAGAAAGCAGAAACAGACAAAAATAAGATCAATCCTTTCAAAGTTACTTTTCTTATAAGGCAAGGACAAGGGGACAGAACAATAAAAAAAATTAAGGATTGGAGCCAGGCATGTTGTATACACCTACAATCCTGGCTTTAGGGAGGCCGAAGCAGGACGATTATTGTAAATTTGAGGCCAACCTGAGCTACATAGTGAGTTCAAGGCCAGCTTGGACTACATAACAAGACCCTGTTTTGAGCCCCTCCCCCAATCAGGTGCACTAGTTAATTATGGTGTCAACTTGAATATTAAACACCTAGCAGATAAGTGGAGCACAGTTCTGGGTGTGTCTGGAAGAAGCACTTACTGAAGGGGAAAAGATGGTACCAACCAATAGACTTGTAGCCTGGATGGAATAAAAAAGGGACAGTAAAGGAAGTCTTCCCCTTTTTGCTTGTTTGGAGGAGCTCATCTTTGCCATTGCCTTTGGATGTTCACCTCCAGTTTCTTCAGGCTTTCAGAAACTTATCAAACCTTCCTGTGTAGACCCTTTGGTTTCCCCATAAGGACTTGCGCTGAACTCTGCGGTGAGCTCCGGGCCTCTGACTTTTGACTGGATCTTCTGGCTCTGGAGCACACAGATGGCCCTTTTGCATTTTTCCACCCCTGATTCTGCAGGTAGCCATTATAAGCCTATCTTGTAAATGCTCTACATATCATATACATTTTTTTGTATTAAACCTGTTTTTTCTAGTGAACCCTAACTGGTATATCAGGTAAATAAGCTTAGTTTTCACTTTAGTTTGAGTGATTCCATTTTCATTTTTGGCTGGGTCTGTTGCAGCCTACTGCAGTAACTAAAACAATGGCCTTCAGTAATTTTTACTTAACAATGTTGTCAGCCACGGTTATGGCACAGCTTCTGACAAATGGTACCACAGAAATTGGGGATAAAGTTTTTTTTTTTGTTTTTGTTTTTAGGATGAGCTCTCACTATGTAGTTCTGTAGTTCTGGCTGGTTTTGAACTCACTATGTAGCTGAGGCCTGGCCTCGAACTTGCAGTGATCCTCCTGCTTCAGCCTCGCAGGTGCTGGGATGACAGGTGTGAGCCACTATCCTACCCAGGTGAATAAAGTTATTTTAATCAGTCAGTAACTTCCAGGGAAAGCTTATGTTTTAATGTAATTGTGGATAAGAACTAAATGAGGTGAACCTGACATAATTTGTATAACGAGCAAAATGCTGTTTTTTTCCTTCTAAGGTGTGGCATGCACTCCTTTCTCATGGTGGAAGGGGACAGGCTGTCAGCTTTGTTTCCACTGAGGTTAAAAAATATAGCATATTTTAAAAGTCCCAAATTAACAAAGTAACACGTTTAAAATACTCTGCAATATAATTGTGCTATTCACAAGTTAATTATAGAAGTTACAGAAGACCTTATTTCCTATCATACTCAAGTACCAGTGTCTCATGATGGTGCTCAAGTTCAAAGTCAGGGGAGCAAAGTGTCTCTCAGCCCTACCAGGATGCCTGGCAAACTTCAGATGATGAAACCCACATATGAGATATCCACTCCTTCTGTTTGCGATCTCTCATGCCTTCCTGAGATGAGCTTTTATGGCAACTTTTGACCTGGTAAAGATGTGGGTACATTTTTTTTTCTCAAATTTTCCACTTCCTCAACATTATTTCTTGTCCTATTTGTAAACACCCCTGGAAAGAGAAGTCTTTTAGGATCTGAGCTGGTACCTTTCCCAGCCTCATCTTCTTTAGTGTAAAAGGGAAATGATTCATTGTAGGGGTGGCAGGCGCAGAGTCTCCCCTTTTTTGTTCAGCTACTAACATGATCCTACCTAAGCCAGCTATTTTGGGAAGACAGTCTCTGCTCACTTCACCACTTGTTATTAATCGAAGTGACTTCTCATTTCTACCAGCCTAGGTTACACCTGTGAAAGAGAAAAAACAAAACGTCATAAACAAAAACCAGAATGACAAGCTTTGACACCTGCCAGCCCTTTTTGGGTATTTTTGGAGGGCGATTAACCCTCCAACTGCCTAGAAAGGGAGACAGCAAGGGCTAAAGAAAAAAAAAAAGCTACGGAGACTTGCATAATTTCAAAGTATATGGTGGGCTGGCTGGTCAGTGCCTCAGAGTTACTGAGGCAGAGACAAAGACTGGCCATTATTATAATGGCTGTGCTGGCCATTATTTATTGGATACACACAGTAATTGGAAGGAGTATCTGGTGATTTAGGGAGCAGCAGTAAACCTTTGTCAGTGTGTGATACAATCCTGCCCTCGAGTGTTACAGCATCACAAAACCATTGAGGTTTTGGCTGTGACCAGAGGCAAAATGGAGCTACGATTCCGTATGCTATAGCTGGCTTGCAGGCAAGGTGACACTGAGCCTTGTGCAACCACATTCATACTTTAATTATGAAATAATTTTCTCCCCAAATTACATTATGTAGAGGGGCTCCCGACAAAGTCCTGGGCTAGGATTTGAGAGGTCTTTACTATGGCATCTCTATCATTAGCCTGTGTCAGGCTCAGACAAAGAGCAGGCGCTTCGGAAGTGGTAAAAGGTGGCTTTTCCTTTGGTAACGGCTGGATTTTGCTCTTCCAGCTGTGTGGCTTTCTCTCTGCTCAGCCCTTTTGGTCCTTTAGCCTGCGGACTACAATTCCCAGCATGCATCGAGAGGCTCCCGGGCCAAACCTCGCGCTATGTGCCGCGATCTGGGAGGCTTTTATCCCCAAGGTTGTCGCCAGGCCGGCAGCTAGTACTCCCCAGGTCGTGGTTCCGGCTGCGATTGTAGCCGCTGCTTTCACGATGGCTTGGGTCTGGACTGTGCCACAACCTCTCGGGAGACGTGGGTCGTCGGAGCCTCTTTAGTGTCGGAGTTTGGGCCGCAGGCGTCTTGGCGGCAGCGGAACAACAGGTGACCAGGTGGCGGGCTGGGGGCTCCTTGGTACTAAGCTTTCTATCCAGCCGCAGGGGCCCTTCCGCTCCTCCATCTGTATCCCGGCTCGGGGACCTTCCGTGCTTCTCCCCCTACTCTCACCCCAGTTCAAAGCTCTACCGGGCCGCCCCTACGTCTCGCCCGGCTGGCCGAGGTGACTAATGGGGCTTCTCTCCGATGAGTCTCGGGAGCCCTGGCGCTCGGCTTCTCAGCTTTCTCCAACCCGCCCAGCTCGGCACCTCCAGGGCCACCCCACTGTTCACCCTCATTTTTCAAGCCCCGGCCTTGTCTTTCTCTCGGGGAGCGTTGGCCTTGACCCAGGGCCAGGCTTTAATCTCTTTAGTATTAGGCTCCAGGGATGTGATGGGCGGTAGGGCCGACCAGGCCTTTCCGATCCTGGTGGCTTTGTGTGAAGGAGAAGTGTAAGGGGAAGTAACTCTGGGCCAGAGAGGGTCTATGGGGAGAGGGGAAGAGAATGTTTCTGGGTGTGGAATGCTCCCCTGGCCCGGGAGGATGGCTGAGTTTTGGTTTTGGCGATGCTCTTTAGTGAAGAACTAACTGGTTTATTCTCTGAGGTCTCTCAGATTAAAAGGGCACAGTAGTAAATTAAAAAGCAAGTATCTTTCTCAGGTTTTTATTTTAACTGCCCTCTAAAATGGGGAAACTGCCTACCTTGGAGAGAGGCCAGATATCTATGAGCTTGAACAGAAATTTGTTATAAATAAGGCCTGCTTTGCAGTGTGGCTGCAAGGGTTACAAGACTTGAAAGGTCTGTGCCAATGCTGATTGTTTGTTGTTATTAGAACCTCTGGATGGACTCTTCCTGGAAAGCTTTGCTAATTTGCAGCAGCTGGACAATGTTCCTCATTAACATCTGTCTGTCAGCATAGTCGTGACATCATTTCACTGTGGTAAGGTGACTTTTTTTTCACCTAGTGTTTCAGCCACGGGTGAAGCCTCTGACTCTCACCCCCCACCCATCGACATGTTCCTTGCTCATTGGCTCTTGTATATGTGTTTCAACTTTGTTAAGCCATACATCTGTGTGCCTGTTAAAAGAACAACATTGGAGAAATCTTTGGTTTCATCGAGAGAAAATGCTCTTTGTTATTTTTGTCAGGTGACAGGGACTCATCTCCGAATTCTTTATAGAAAAAGCACCTGGATCCCAGTTTTCCAATGGCTTCGAGACAACCAGAAGTGCCTGGTAAACTTAGTTCTTTTTGGTTTAAGTCATATTTTGCCTTTAATGTTTTAAACTAGACAGAAATAATTCTACCTGAACTATATATTAATGGGTTTCTGCCACTGAGAATTTAGACCTAATAGATAGGTATCATTGGTTTATTATTATTACTGTTATTATACTTGCTTTTTTTTTTTTTTTTTTTTTTTTTTTTTTTTTGTGAATTTTTTTTTTTTTTTTTTTTTTTTTTTTTTGTACCGGTGATTGAACTCAGGTCCTTGTGCTTGTGAGGCAGTCACTGGAACTCCCTGGCCCTGAACTTGATTTTTTGAGACAAGGTCTTGGTGTTAGCTCGGGCTGCCCTTGAGCTCATTAGTTTGAGGCTGGCCTCAAGCTTGTGGTGATCCTCCTGCCTCAGACTCCCAGGTGCTGAGATTAGAAGCTTGGGCTACCACACCTGGCCACTTGAATGGGCAGTTTAATGAGACCTTGTCTTAAAATTAAAAGGCTGGGATTGTAGTCAGTAATAGAGTGTCCTTGGAATTGATCCCCAGTATGGGGAAAAGAAAAAGGACTTTCACTTGAGGGTATGACAGATGTATTACTTTGTATCAAATAAGTATTCAGAATGAGTTGTGTAGTTCTTGTTAACAAGACCTGAGACTGTATAGCAAGAATTTCTTGGTTATGAAATTTCTTCTTGGATTGTTGTATCAGAAGAGAAGGTGATTTTTAGTTAATTCTGAATCTTTCAAATTCGGGTTCTCAGTGAAGTATAGGTGGCAGTGCCCACCTCTCAGTATTATTATGAAGACTAAACAGCACATTTTTGAAAATGTGAGTTAAAAGTTGGTGCTAAATATCCACTTACTGTTCAGAAAAGTTTTTGGTCTCTGTAGGAATATATTTTCTAAGAAATAAATTTTTAGGAAGGCCATTAAGGGAAGTCTTAATGATGTTTTTGAAATCACTCGCAAATTGGATGGATTAATATGTGTGTCCCCAACATAGATCCATCTCTAGTGTCTAACATCTCAACTTGCGTGTTAGTCTGTCTTTCATTGTTGGCTGCAATTACCGTAAACACCCTGTGATGGCACTGAGCAACACTGTTGCACTTAGCAGTTAACGTTTTGTAGTGTTGAGTGTGGAGTGTGACCCTTGGTTTAGGTTTTCCCCACGCTTGCTGATGATGCATCTATTTCTTCTGTTTTGTTTCCTGAGCTGGAAAACAGGAAGAATATTTACATAGCGAAGATTAGATAAGGGATATAAGTGCCTAGTACTGTAATTATCATTTGCCTGCATTTTAATGAGATATAATACCATAAAATTCACCCATTTAAAGTGAATATTTTGGTCAGGCATGGTGGTGCACTTCTATAACCTCAGCACTCTGTGAGGCTGAGGCAGGAGGATTACAAGCCTCGGCAACTTAGTGAGTCCCTGTCTCAAAATAAAAACAAACAAATCAAAACGGGCTGGGGATGTAGCTCTGTGTGAAGGTGCTGGGTTCAATCTCTAGTAGCACAAAACACAAAACAGTTTAAAGGTTTTTTAGTATATTCACAAGGTTATGCAACCATCAACACTATTATAATTGCAGAACATATTTATTGCCCCACACAGAAAACCTTGTACCCACGAGCAGTCACACCTCATTGCCCCTTCTTGCAGCCCCTAGTAACTATAGTCCTATTAGTAATTATTTTTATTAATATTACTAGTCATCAAATGGTATGTGCTTGATTCCCTTGCTGTTTGTTGCCTTTGGTGGTTTTGGACTCACTGACAGGCAGGTTAGGATCTCAGCATGATTATGTAATTTTAACAACAAAAAAATGTGACCTTGAAGGCAGATCCTGGATATTAGTCCTGATATGGAAGAGTTAGCAGTCAAACAGAATGAACCTTGCTACCTTGGCTAGCACAGCTGCAAGTGCCCTTGAAGTGGGGTGCCTGCGTCACGGTAGGACACCGAGGCAGTTAGTTCCAGTGGACAGGAGTGGCAGGATCAGCTGGTCTTGTTTTGTGAGCATTTCTGTGATGGAAATCTCTGCTGCTAAATGATACAAAACACTAGAGATAATGCCTTCTTCTTTTTTTTTTTTTTTTTTTTTTTTTTGTACTGGGAGTTAAATTCAGGACCTTGCACTTGCCAGGCAGGCTTAGCGTCACTGAGTGAAATCCCTGGCCTAACATTTCTTTTAGTGCTGTTATCTTTGAGATAGGAAAGGCAGAGAATTTGTGGTCAAACCTTGTGAGGCTCAGCTTGCCATTTTCTGTGTGAATTTGGGCGAATCACTTCCCCCCTGGGGTTTGGTTTCTTCATCTGTAAATCGAGAACAAGAACCTCATATTCTTGCCTGGTGTGGTGGTACATACATGTAATTCCAGCACTCTGAAGGCTGAGGCACGAGGATCACTGCAAATTCAAGGCCACTTACTACATAGTGAGCTCAAGGCCACTAGCCACTATGAACTACATAGTGAAACCCTGTCGCAGAAAACCAATAAACACCCGTCCAAAGAACAAAACAAAGCAAAACCCACAAACCCTTCATAACCTCTGTCATTTTGTATCTCCAGTCTTAAGTAAGCAAGATCCGTAGCATGGCAGGGAGGGCTCTCTGTGGCATCCTGAGCACAAACTGAAAGCAGTGAAGCTGGAGTTTGATTCCATACTGCTTTGAAGTTGTATGACCTTGCTCGGGCAAGTTCTTTAATCTGTAGGAATGGATCAGGACTCTGACTGGGTTAGGTAGATAATTCAGAGTATCGGTAATAGAGGAAGAAGTCAGCACAGTTTTTTTCCTTGAATGATTAGCTATTCAGGAACAAGGAATAGCTGGTTTGAGCTTTCCTTTCTGCAGATTAACTTAAAGCTACGAGTGTGTCCAGTCGCTAAACCCATCTTGACAGGTGTCTCTGTTCCTAGCTCTTGGGCCCAGTGGGCCTCTAGGCAAGATGTCCCTGCCCATCGGGATGTGCCGCCGGGCATTCAGCTATGACGATGCCCTGGAGAACCCTGCACCCATGACTCCTCCTCCAGCGGACATGGGCAGCATCCCCTGGAAGCCAGTGATTCCAGAGCGCAAGTACCAGGACCTCGCAAAGGTACCTGATCCTGTTGACTGCTTCTGGCAAACGCAACCCTTTTGTTCTCCTCCCTCTGCCTCAGAAGCCTTCAGTGGCTCCCTGTTCCTATAGAATCGAGCAGCATCTACTCCCTGTGTGTTTTTCTGTGGTTCAGCTACACTTGTTTTCCTCATTTGTTTTTTTCCAAATGCAGAACTAGAATGATTGTGTCTTCTGCCCCAGACCTTTTCTACCCCTCTTTCACCATTGAAAAATCCAAGCTCTGGAACATGATCCAAGTTTTGCATGTCCGGGTCGTGCTTGCCTCTCCCCAGCTTCCCCACCCAGTGATTAACCATGCAAGTTATCTGGGATTTCATGCACTTAAGGTATTCTATGCTTCTGAGTCTTTGCCTCACACTTTGCATAAATGTTTACCATTCTGAACCTGTTCTCTCTCCCTCTCTTCTCAATTTGCTTGAAACATAGTATCCTTTCTTTGCTCAAGCATTTCTTCCGTAGGATTTTTCTGACACCTCCGTTCTCCCAATAAGTCTGTCTTTCCCTTTGATTGCTCCGCTGTATGCTGGTTCCCGTCATAACCCCTCCATTATTTTCTCACCCTCCATTGGCTTCTTGGGGCAGAGGCCATGTATAAGATTTGTACAAGTTTGAGTATCCCTTGTCCAAAATGCTTGGGACCAGCAGTGTTTCAGATTTTTTTTTTTTATTTTGGAATATTTGCATATATCAATGAGATATCCTGGGGATGGGACTCAAGTCTAAACATGAAATTCATTTGTGTTTCGTACTCGTCCATATATCCTGACGGTGGCTTTCTACAGTATTGATAGTTTTGTGCACAGAATAGAGTTTCACGGTGTGGAACTTTCCTCTTGTGGCATCATGTTGGTGCTCAAAGTTTGGTATTTGGGAGCAATTGGGAATTTGGGGTGCTCAACCTATGTATTCTCTGCAGTATTTAGGGACAGTGTTCAGGAACAAAGTAGATTTTTTAAAAGTTTCTTTTGTGATAGGGCAGAATTGACTCTGTCCTGAACACATGTCGTGTTTTCCTTTATGCTGTCTCTGCCTTGGGTGCCTTCGTCATCGCCACCCTCCAAGGCTGCCTCTGTCCTGGGCTCCCTCCGACACAGCTTGCTCTGCCCTCACCTGCTTTGTGCGGTGTGTCCTGTAGGCTCGCACGTGGTTGCAGTTTTGCGGCTGAAGCCTGTGCTTCTCACCTCTCACTTTCCAACCATCAAGCGCCCAAGAAAGGTTCTGCTGTTACCTGAATGTACGAGGCCTTGCCGCCTTCTCAGTTAAGACGTTTAACCTGCAGCTATGGTGTCACCAGACTGAGCTGTGCGATAGCTTGGGGCTTGACAGGAAGTTTACAGTAGGTCTGCCTAGACAGACCTAGCATGAATCCCGAGAGTGCACTGCACTGCTGCTTCCATCTGGGAATTAAGAATATGTTCTGATAGAGGTGCTGTGGGGTTTAAATAAAGAGCATTTAACACATTCCTGCCAGCTTGAACCACTGGTGGTACAATCTCATTACTTTCGTCAGTCTTTTTACTAATAAAATTAATAGAAAGCTGCCAAACAGGACAGTCTTGTGTGTACCACTGGTGGTTCAAGCCACCCAGAAGGGAGGCACAAATTATGGTCCATCGTGAACATGTTAAAGGCTTGGCATGAGTTAGCTACTGGCTCTCAACCTAATGTTCACATAGTACAGCCAAGCTGAAGCCTTTCTTTTTAATGAGCTATTTTTGTCTTCCCATTATGCTCTCAGAACAAGGAGCTCCTTTTTAAATGTCTTTTACAACTCTGGGGAAAACTTGTATCAGTCAGTTGCCTGCAGGAATCTGACCCAATGGGTCATTCAGGAGAAAGTTCTGTGTAAAAAGTAGTGGAGAGCCGGGCGTGGTGGCACACGCCTGTAATCCCAGCACTCGGGAGGCTGAGGCAGGAGGATCACTGTGAGTTTGAGACCAGCCTGGGCTACAAAGTGAGTTCCAGGTCAGTCTCAACTACATAGTGAGACCCTGTCTCAAAAACAAAACAAAAACAAAAAGTAGTGGCAAAACTAGGAGAGAAGGACCCTGTCAGCCTGCGTGTGATGTCGAAGCAGTGGACTCAAGGGCGGAAGACGCCTGTGAGGTTGGCACACCTCTGCACATGAAGGCTGCAGCTGCTGCACAAGGCAGAGTTTGGTTGCCTCAGCTGAAACAGCTGGTACCTTGGAACAAGTACTCTCAGAGGGGAGCCCAGCCAGACTGAATACATGCATTCTTTCATCAGCCTTAACTATCCTCACGCTAGGCTAGGGATCAAGTATATTCCAAGTAAGGAAACGAGGTTCAAGTTTTAGCATAGATCCTATTTTGGTAGAGACATCCATTTCAGTACTTTCTTTATCTTTATTTTTTGACCCCTTTACTTTCTTCGGAGAAGCAAAGAGGATAAACCAGGGTTGCCTCCTCCCTGCTAGGTCTCTCCATGACATCAAGTGTCCAGGGCTGGGGATTTAGCTCGGGGCCACCAGCTGCCTCACAAGCACAAGGTTCAGAGTTCAACCCCCGGTACCAAAACAAAACAAAAAACCAACAAAAAAGGTCATCAAGTGTTTAAATCAGGTGGTGGCTTCAGCTCTGGCTCACAGAGGGTTAGGAGCTATGTAGATTTTTGTTTTATAAGACCATCACTCTGACTTTTAGAGCAGTGGTCCACAAAGCAAAGTTTTGGCACCAGGAGCATCAAGATTATCTGGGAATTTGTTATACGTACATATATTTATAGTGCATGTATGTGTGTGTGTGTTGGCGTGCAGTAGGGATGAGGCCCAGGGCCTTGTGCATGTTACTGAGCTACACCCTCATCCCTAGACACATTGATTCATGAGCGCCAGTCCAGACCCACCCAGTCAGAAACTCTGGGTGGGGCCAGTAGTGACTTTAGCAAGTGCTCCATGAGATTCTGATGCTCTGCAAAGTTTGAGAACCATCTAGTGACACCTCTGATCAGGTTTATTGCCAGGTATTATATGTTCAGTGCTTTGTAATGGGTGTTTCTCTGCATTCTGTGGGCATAGAACTAGAGTATATATTGGACAGAAATAGCTTAGGAAGGTAGTGAATCTCAGAGCTTCAAATTCTGGCTTTCCTTCTTATGAATCCAAACATTACTATAATGTCTGTAACTTTTTCTTGGAGACAAAATCAGAATCTCACTATGAAGTTCAGACTGCCCTGGAGCTCACTATGTAACACAGGCTGGTCTCAAACTCACAGCAGTCCTCTTGCCTCAGCCTCCCGAGTGCTGGGATTACAGGTGTGCGCCACCACGCCAGCTTCTGTATCTTGATAGAATACCTACTTAACTGGAAGGAGATGGCCACTGCCCCCTTTAAATATTTCTTTACTTGTCAGATTAAATATATCATAGGAGCTTCTTTCCCAAAAGAGTAAGTTTAGGAGTGTGGCGCCCCTGCCCTGCTCCAGTGCTGCCTTTCTTCTCTTGCACAGGCGGAGGAAGGAGAGGCCAGTGTATCCCCCACTGCCATGACCCTGGCAACAGACACTGACAGTATGGACAAGGTCCCGGTGGTGAAGGCTAAAGCTACCCATGTCATCATGAGTTCCCTGATCTCAAGTAAGCACCTTTCATTGTCAGAGAAGAGTGAAGTAGGGGTGGAGGAGAGTGGAGTACAACCACAGCCCAGCTGCAGAAGGTTTGCAAACAATGGTACCTGTGTCAGGGAGGCTCCATTTAGATGAAAGATTTGCTAAACATTAAGTATCTTAGTCGATTTAAGTGCATTCCTGTGTTTTGTTGGTACAGTATCATTTCCCATATTGATTGGTGCGGTCTTGGGCAAGTCACCTAACTGTAGAGACTGTTCCTCCCTTTGTAAAGTGGGGGATCTTGCTGGTGGGCTGAGGTGGATTTGAGGAGTGGTCAAGCCCTTGCTGAGGACAGGAGGGGATGCTGTTGCTGCCCAAACTCTGCTGGAGAAAGCAACATGCTGAAGCATTTCCGTCTTGCCCTGCAAAGTTGTCCGCTAGAAAGGGCCAGGTTTAGTGCAAGTTGTTTTAGCTTTAACATGTTCCCACTGGTTTGAACCACCAGTGGTACATGCCTGACTGTCATGTCCGGCAGCTTGTACCACCTCATGGGACAGTCTTGCATATACCATGGATGGGTCGTATGAATTATGGCCCCATTGTGAAGCATTAGGAGTGTGTGATTGCTGGGTGTGGTGGCGCATGCTTGTAATCCTAGTATTTGAGAGGCTGAGGCAGGAGAATCTGTGTGAGTTTGAGGCCAGCCTGGGTTACATAGTGAGTTCAACTACAGAGCAAGACCCTGTCTCAAAAAGAAACAAACCAAAAATTTGATTCGTGCCTGGCATAAGAGAGCTTACATTTAAAAAAGAACTTTATAACAAATTAACTGAACTTTTTCATTCTGGAGGGATCATTGTAATTGCTGTGGGAAGTTAGCAGTTATTAGATACAAAGCTGTGCTTGTCATCAGTAATGTCAGTACTAGGGGCAAGGTACCTAGAGATTGTCTATGACTGGCTCATTTTTGAAATCAGAGCCCTTGTTTCTCCAGGAAGGCATCAGTTTGTCTTGGGCAGTTTTTGGAGAGTTCATCCAAAAACCAAAAGTCCAAACTCTTACTTTGGTTTTCTCTTCACACATAAGCGAACCATTTGAATCAGCAACTTCTACTTGTAATTTTATTTCCTTAGTACTGAGGATCGAACTCAGGACCTTGAACTACTTGTATTTTGTAAGCTTGAGGATGGGTTTTTTTGTTGTTTTTTTGAGACAGGGTCTCAGTATGTAGTTGAGACTGACCTGGAACTCACTATGTAGCCCAGGCTGGTCTCGAACTCACAGCGATCCTCCTGCCTCAGCCTCCCGAGTGCTGGGATTATAGGCATGTGCCACCATGCCCAATGTTTTAGAAAGTTTAGCCTTTGTTCTTTTTTTTTTTTTTAGCACAGTACAACTTTATTGAAAATGCAACAAGATAGATGATAACACTCCAGTATACCACTGTTACTCAGATACTTATTTGGCATATTCATTTCTGTGTTTTTGCATTTTTTATCTAATCACAGATACAGTAGACATACCATTCTATTTTTTTAAAGTTAATAATGCCATGAAGTTTTGATTTGCTATTGTCTTAAAAAAAATAGCTGCATTTAAAGTTCTGGTTTTGGTGTACAACAATTCATTATAATTCTCTTATTTTTTAGATTTTCAGGCAACTATCTCTTCTTGGCCTTTTGGCTAAGATCAAGTATAGATTTTCAGACAACTACCTGATAAAACTGGGACTTTTTTTTTTTTTTTTTTTTTTTTTTTTGAGAGAGAGGCTTGCTATGTAGTCCAAGTTGACCTTGAACTTGCTATGTTGCTCAGGGTAGCCTGGAGTTTAGAAGCCTCCTGCACTCAGCCTTCTAAGCGCTTAGACTCCAGGCATATGTCACCATGCCTGGAAAACATCTTTATGCTTCTGTGTGTGCGTATGTTCCTGATAAGAGATATTTCTTTAGAAGAAGACTACGTTGTAAAGTACAGCTGGTGTTTAGACACTTGATCCACAGCTGCCACATTCGTCTGTACAGAGGTGTGTTATGTAAGCGGAAATTCAGCCGTCATTCATTCCCCAGTGTAACAGACTTATGAAGTAATCAAGTCAAACTCATAGGGAATGTTGAGTGTCTTCCGGGCCAGGCGTTATGACAGTCCACCTCACACGAAAGAAACTTGGCATCAGTTCAAGGCAGGTTGACTGTGGTTTGAATTTAGTTGATGCCTTGGAACCAGCTGGCCTGAATGTGACTTATTTCCCTTTGACAAAGGTTTTTGGGTGGCTGATGAGGGTGGTTAGAACATTTTGTTTCTGGAGGATCCTTACTGTGTCTGGATGTCAGTTACCTTCTCCCTGCTGCATTTCTCAATACAAAGATGTCACAGTATGCAAGTAAGAGGAGGGTAAGGAGGTTCTTCAGCTGTCTGCTTGGGAATGACTCGTTCTTTAGTTTGGTGCAAGGGAAGGCCCCCTTCTGGCCAGGTAACCCTGTGTGAGGTTCAGCATTAGTGCTTTGGTTCCTGTCTGGGGGAGACCTCCTCTGTGATCTGTTGTGTTTTCTTGATGGTTTCTGATGGGTTAGCAGGATGGGCATGACTCTTGTCTCCTCTCTTTCCAGAACAGACCCAGGAGAGCATTCAACGTTTCGAGCAACAGGCAGGGCTGAGAGATGCTGGCTACACACCACACAAGGGCCTTACCACAGAGGAGACCAAGTACCTTCGAGTGGCAGAAGCACTCCATGTAAGCTTGTTTCGTAGGAACTTTAAGAAGCCAAGCCCTCTTTTTCATGGCTTGAGATAAGACTGGTTTAGAAGTCACCACCAGTTGGGTGGCAGCTGTGGAGAGTGGTGGAAAGAGAACTGGACAAGGGGCTTTAGAACTGGGTGAGTCCTACCTCTGCTTGCACTTGTGGCTAGAGGCTCTGGAGCCTTAGCCTCATAGTTTTCACTTACTTATCTATACATTAAAGGTGTCTGTTTTACTTATTTTTAGAAGGATTGAATGAATGTGTCAGCTCACCTACGTGATATGTGTGCGTACTCTGTGAACCATAAAGGAGATATGGATTATTTTTGTGCCATAGTGACTGATTTTGAGGGAGGAAAACAGGGCAGTTTCAACAGTTAACATTTCAGTTGGAAAGCAACATCATGCTCTGTTTTTAATTTTTAAGAAGTTAAAATTCATTGTAGAACTGGAATGATTTTGCTTTTTCATTTCTAAAATAGGGATGAAGAATACTTTTAGTAAAAGTTATGACAATGAATAATTTCAAATGACTGTCTTTTGGAGTCCTGGTTTACACAGAATGGTGCTTCATGATTTATGAAATACCTGCATTCTCTTAATCATTAGACTTTACTTTATAAATGAAGAGAATGACACCCAAGGTTGTATATTTAGCCAATCACAGTACCTGAACTCAGAAAGTCTCCTGATTCCCTTTCCTGTTGGTTTTTCCTTCTTATTTCAAAGTAGTCTAAGAATCTGTCTCCTAAAGAGGCTCAGATTTTTTTTTTTTTTTTTTTTTTTTTTTTTTTTGCTTGTGTTTTT